GATCAAACCCAGGTCAGCAACAAGCACTCTACCCGCTGAACTGTCACTCCAACCCAACAGCTGCTATTTTTATTGCATTTTTTTTTAAAGGCTATGTTCCACCAACCCATCCTTCTTGCACCTAACGTATGTACGGGTAACATGTACCTTAGTTTGTCCAACAGAACTTGAACAGATTTTTTTTAATGCAGCCATACCAAAAAGATAATTACACAATATAAAGAGATCATTACACAGAACATTTTGTTTAAAATGAAGTTCTCACAATTTACAACACATTCCACAGGTCATTACAGATTTGAATTCAAAAGAGAAACAGGAAAATAATTAGAGAGCAGACTGAAATTGTTTGACCCTCAATTTTAAAAAAATGAAAATCAGAAAACTGCCATGGGAATTACTTTATGTCTTACTAAAACACACAAATCTGAACTCAGAAAGCATAAATGGTTTAACTACAGCATAGGCCAAGAATGTAAAACTTTTAATGCATAGATAATTAAGTCTCAATCTGTGGAGGGAAAAAAAAAGTCCTTAGGTAAGAATAAATGATAATTACGGAAGGATTATAACACCAAAGTCTGCGTTACCATAAAACTTTTTAATCAAGCAGCAAATTTTGCAGTGCGAACTAGAGCTTTCAACCAAGGTGGAATATTTTTAATTATGAAAAATAAAAGCATACCACTGCAATTCCTGCAATTAGTTCCAAGTATCATGCAGACAGATATCGCCTTTCTCCTCAGAGAATAAACCAAACCATTAACAGCGAAAGAGAAATCTGGAGGGTTTTTATTTTTCATAACAAGTTCAAAACAGACCAAGGACATCAGACTTATATCAAAACTTTGAAATTCCTCCGCCACAGAGTACATTTCGATCTTAGAATAATCTGGAAATGCAGTCTGTAGACCAGACTCTCCAGAGATGTACTTGCTTAGTTCCTTCCACCCCCAAACACGGAGGCTCTACACCATCCAGGGCTTTGTGATCTGTGCCAAGGATAACTTGAAAAAAAAGTCACATGAAAGATACATTTAATCATTACAGAGGAAGAGGAGCAAGGTCTCCCCAGAGCTGAAACACACAGGTTTCTTCCTGCCTAAAGCTCCAAGGTGGGGCCTCCCAGAAGGAGAAGCCTCCCACAGGACCCGCCCCTGACTCCCACAAAGTGGCAGCAGGTTGAGCAGGTTTCTGCCTGGAGACCTCCAAGGGAGAGATCTCCAGCAGCTGGTGGTAAGAAAGCTGATTCCTCAGCCCTCAATTCTAATCCGACCCTCAAGAGAGAGGACATAAAAAAATTACTCAGATTTAAATAGGAACAGAGTGCAATATAAATAGATGCAGATTTGCAGGGATGCTCACATCAGTATAAAATGTTATAATCCACTACTCCTAAGATACAATCAAACATAATAATAATAAGGACATCCTGAGGTTTACTGCCCAACCTAAAGCGCAAGCCAGTCCAGCCTTCCCGAGAAAAGGAACAAGCGGGACTTCAGGGAGGAAACTGAAGGCAACAGTAAAAATAGAGCCAACCCCTAGGAGATGTGCAAGTTCAATTCTAGATCACCCCAGCAACGCCAGAAGTGATCCCTGAGAGAGAAGAGTAAAGCCCTGAGCATGGCCCAAAAACATTGTTTGAGCCACAGTCTATTGAGTGAATAACAGCATTATGTTTTCTACAAAAATGAACAAAATATAAATTTTTAAAAATGTTTAAATATTTTATAGGACAGAGAGAAAGGAAAAGAGGTAAAGCACCTGCCCTGCATTCAGTTGTCCCAGTTCAATCCCTGGCACCCCACATGGTGCCCTGAACGTCCCTGTCCCTAGGAGTGACCCCTGAGTACAGACCAGGAGTAAGGCCTGAGCACAATCGGGTGTGATCCATAAAACAACAAAATCAATTTAATGATTTTTCCATGGTTTTGCGATTCTGAGCCTTTAACATGCTGCAATCACTTTGCAGTTGGGAGTGACAATAGTAACATCAAAGATCACTCATCAACAATCATCATAACACAGTATCAAGTAAAAGAATTGCCAGAGTTACTAAGTGAGCACTTTTGGCACCATTTTCCAATAGAAAATTTCATTTGGAATTTCCATTTCTATTGGAAAATGGTGCCAAAAGGCTCCGTGGGCCCACAATTGCCATACCCTTCTAATGGGAAAAAGCACACTAACAGCAAAGCACTCATATGGGAAGGATAGGGTGTGCATACTGAAGTAAAGCAAAACAAAGTATCTTAGGAAAACACATCCATCACCATAGTCCTTTCCACAGCTATGAAATATTTAATAAAGTGAAAGAGATCCATGTTAACAACATTTCTACAATGTATCTGGTGCATCACGGAATGAACTAAATACTACTAGATTTCATCTGATTAGAGAAAACCTTGGAATATGTAATCCAGTTTTATTTTCAAAGTCACATCATAATCCAAAATTCTTGCAATTGCTATTTGCTGATCAGGCAAGGAACCATAAGGAAAAACTCGTGGTTGAAGTCTGAAGAGAACATACTTGGTAATGTGACCGCCACCAGTTCTGAGTTGATACTCCCTACCACGGCCAAAGAAAAGAGCAAAATGACAATGGTATGACAAAGCACAAATCTACTGACTACTAATTTCAACATTATTCCAACTTTCATTTTTATCATTTTATTATCTTGTCCACAGGCTGGAGCGATAGCACAGCAGATAGGGCGTTTGCCTTGTGCGCAGCCAGGCCAGCCTAGCTGGGTTCGATTTCTCTGCCCCTCTAGGAGAATCCGACAAGCTACTGAGAGTATCTCGCCTGCATGGCAAAGCCTGGCAAGCTACTCGTGACGTATTCAATATGCCAAACACAGTAACAAGTCTCAAAATGGAGACATTACTGGGCCCACTCGAGCAAATTGATGTACAAAGGGAGGACAGTGGACAGACAGTGACAGACTATCTTGTCCAACCCGGGTTCAATTCCTCCGCCCCTCTCAGAGAGCCCGGCAAGCTACAGAGAGTATCTTGCCCGTACAGCAAAGCCTGGCAAGCTACCTGTGACGTATCTGATATGCCAAAAACAGTAACAAGTCTCACAATTTGTTGTGAGATGTTACTGGTGCCCACTCGAGCAAATCGATGAAAAAATGGGAACAGTGTAGTTGGATTTGGAGGTCATATCCAGCTGTACTCCGTGCTTACTCCTGGTTCTGTGCTCAAGGATCAAAACTAGCTCAGGGGACCATATAGCATGCCAGGAATTCAACCTGTGTTGGCCTTGTGCAAGGCAAATGCCCTACCCACTGAACTATCTCTCCGGTCTCTCAACTTTCATTTTCAAAGGTTCAGTCAAACTGAATTCTGCTCTTCAGAATAATGAATAACAAACCTTCCATGGGAAAAGCAACTTACATTTACAATCAATGAAATAAAAACTCTCAAGAATTTATGAAAAAGGGCATATCTTGCTTACAATTTAAACCAGATGTTTTGTATCTGAAGCTGTCCTTGTGGTTCTCCAAAGGAGTCTACCCTTCCAAATATACAGCTTCAAAGTATGCACCTAAAATACTGTTATTTTAATTCTTTAAAATTAGCAAAATATGTTAAAACTGAAGTAGAAACTTAAAAATTATATTTAATTCTCATATAATAAATTTTAAGGATGTTTCCTTCTGATTTAATATACAACTACTAAATCAGAAGTAAATATCCTTTACCTCTAAAAGAAGTGAATTCCAGAATCAGGGGTAATGAAATGAAATCTCAGAGCACAACTCCTGTAATATTGGCAAATCTCACTAAGGCTCAGTTATCTTGTAACTAAATAAATATTCCATACTCCATAGGGCCTCTGTAAAATGTAAGGTAACCCACAGAAAAACTATAAAAGAAACTAGCATATACATACTTAATAAATGGCACTTTTACAATTGATTTCTGAGTAAATGCCATGAATCTCTATTGGCACCTAGGATACAGAGATAAAGATTAGGGTCTCTGGTTCCATAAACTTGGAATTTGTGTTTTAATAGGAGGCAGTGCCATGAATTGCTATGGTTTCTCTTCCAAATATTAAATATCCCAAGTTTCCTTTACTAAGTATGACCAGGATCTCGCACAATTGCAAATGAGCTTGAAGGAAAAAGCAAAAGCAGTGAGGCCAACTAGACACCAGGACAGAGGAGGCTCTTGCAAAACATCAGTCCAGAGCCTGTGCATGAAACCCTGTAAGGGCTGCTAGTGGAACAGCTGAGGCTGCCACACTTCAACAACCTTGTGACTCTCAGCATGCCCAGTGTTAGCAAAGACAATAAAAAAGAACTCAACCAACTCTGAAGAAAACCACAACTATTTTAGGTGTGACAGTGAGAAATGAATGGAAACTCTCTGCTGATGCAATCAGCGCCTGTCAGGTGTCACAGTGGCTTCAAGGTTCCAACGACCCGACTTGCTGGTTGGGCCCCTCAGGGATTCGGTCCCTAATGGTGATGGACTGGTTTTGATCTCCTTCCCCGCTGGCACACTACAGACCAAGAAATTGTCCCCTCCGTGTGAGCTGAGTTCATCCTCACCAAGGCAGGAAAGCTACAGACAGAAGCAGTAAGAACCCCTCCCCGTCAATGAACAGATAACCCCATGGGAAGGTAGAATCAACCATCCAAGTACCAGAACTGTACTCATGGGAGAGCACCAGAGCAGGTACAAAGGAAAGGTATGGGGAAGAATATCCGAGTCGAACTGGTAGGATTCAGAGAAGGGAATCGGCCCAATGAAATGGGAAAAGCAACAGAGTCCAGTCAGCCATAAATGAAAACAGACTCTGGGAAAATAATATGCAAAAGACATGGCATGAGGCAATAAAAAAACCTTAAAAAAACAAATGTTTGGTGGAATATAGGAATTAAATCAAATTTAGAAAAAAAACACCTATAATAAGCCACAAGACAAAAAAAAAATATTATCCCAGGCTGAATATATATACAATACTTTCAAAATTCTTACCTCCCTGAAACTCCTTTTGCCGACCCTGGAATGTCTGGTACAGGTCGATGTCTCAAGAGAAAAGATCGAGATGGTCTTGAAACCAATTTACTACGGCTTCTCATAGGTGATAGGATAGGAGATGATGGAATATATAAATCATTTACAACCATTTCTCCTTGAAACTGGAAGAATGGGGTTGGCGGGGAGCTCTTCAATAAACCATTAGTTCCATTCCCAGCATCTGTCTCTGATTCTGAACATCCAGACGAAGAAAGACTTTGAGGGTCCACCTTGGGAAGCTGGTTCACATTTTTAGAGATCAAATCAATCTTTTCAGTCTGTTCTTCAATTGTGCCATCCACAGTCTTCCTTTTAATCAAAGATTCCACTGTAATATTTTTACTATCAAGCAAAGAACCTTGAAAAGAACTTAAATTCAAGTGTGGTTCTTGAGGTTCTTCTTCTGGAATGGGAAAGTTATGTGCAGGAAGCAGTATCTTATCAGCTGATTTGAGAGACTGATTATTTTCCACACGGGCATCAATCTGGCTGAGACTTTTTGTAACACCCTTCAAATGCTCTGGGTTGGGTAAGTGAACACCACTCGACACCGAAAGTTCTGTGCAAGTATTATGATCAAGAGCTGGAAAATGGTAATCCTGCAAAGCTTCATCAATCTTCCTTGTTTTTTGAACATTGGCATATACTGGAATGTCTTGCATTTTAAGCAGGATGATCTGTAGCTGTTTAAGTATCCTCCTCCGGTGTCCTGTGGGGGATATTCCAATTTTGTGGAGCACGCCGTCATTTATTCCTGCACAGTCCTTTACAGTATTAAATCCAAACTTCTGGAATTGTGAGAGATACTGCTCCAAATTAATGCTCATTAGGAAATCTCTGATATCAACATTTACTTCACTGGTTGAGGACATAATGATGACTTCATTACTGAGCTGAGTTACAAAAAGCAGGATAATGAGATACACAAGGGAGTACACCGCTCTAGTGGTTTTTCCTCTGTCTCTTGAAACAGAAAAGTATCTCCAAATGTTATTTTCTCCACAGTGTCTGCTTTATGTGCTTAAGCCTGGAAGAAAGAAAAAATTATTACTCTGTTTTAGTAATTACAACCTCATTTTACACTAAATTTTTACTGCAGAAACATAATAGTAACATATTTACCGACTGCAAGTTTGGAATCTTTGTGCATTACTTTGCATGACCTAGAAACAAAATTTTTAGGTAGAGTGTGAAAGTACTGGACAGATATGCTATACGAGTATCAGTGATCACTTTCAAAAAGATGAAAAGTTAAATATATTCAAAATTTTTTTTAAAAAATCAGGGGGCCATAAACTATAAGATTAACAAACTTAATGAGACTCTGAAGTTACTTCCAAGAGATTATGTATATGGTAGGCATACCTAGTCCATAAGAAAAGACTTTCTTAAGTGTTTTAAAATGGAGGAAAAAGAAGTTAATACCTTACAGGCAAATAAACCATAATCTTTAGGGTTATTATTCCCCTAATGGCAATCTATCAGATAACAGGTAACTTTGTAGTTCTGGATTCTAAACAATAGTAAAATACAATTTTTATGTGTTTTTGTTTGTTTGTTTGTTTGTTTTTGGCTTTTTGGGTCACACCTGGCAATGCACAGGAGTTACGCCTGGCTATGAACTATGAACTCAGGAATTACCCCTGGTGGTGCTCAGGGATCCATATGGGATCCTGGGAATTGAACCCGGATCGACTGCATGCAAGGCAAACACCCTACCTACTGTGCTATCACTCCAGCCCCAACAATAGTAAAATACAATGTTGAAACAAGAATTAAAACTAAGTATTTCTAAGGTGGGTCTGTTAAATAAAATCCCTTGCAAAGCACTGATAGAATACATACTTTCTTTTGACTTCCAAATTTTAGAAATGTTTTCTTAGAGTAAATACAAAACACCTTTTCCTTTTTCATAAAACATCCCTGAACGACTTCTTTTAAAAGCCTGGGCAGAGCTCGGCCACAGTGGGCTGCAAAGTTTATTCCACGCACATGTACGTTCCTGGGTTTCATCCAGGAAAGGCAAACACCTGCCCCCACACCTGCCCTCCCCACCCCAACGCCACCCTTATTCCCGTCACACAAATGCACAGAGAGCACAGAATTTATTTCCCAGGTCAATGATTTTCAGGGCAATCATTTTCAGCTTAAGGAAGCAGCAACATTTTAAGTACAAAATCTAAGTACAAAACTAGTTGAATAGTTAATACTTAAATACAATCAATAATAGGAAATAATGTGGAAATAAAAGACAAAGATATAAAGGTCACATGCTCCCTTATATGTTGCAAATTCATATAGATTTAGGATGCTTCCAATCATCACGACTTATTCTTTTAAACACACTTCTTTAGGTACTGTTTAGGTACTTAGCACTGTAGCACTGTCCTCCCGCTGCTCACTGATTTCTCAGGCAGGCCCAGTAATGTCTCCATTGTTAAGACTTGTTGTTACTGTGTTTAGCATATCAAACATGCCATGAGTAGCTTGCCAGGCTTTGTCATGCGGGCAAAATATTCTCAGTAGCTTGCCTGGCTCTCCGAGAGGGGCAGGAGAATCGAACCCAGCTCAGCCGGGCCAGCGGCTTGCAAGGCAAATGCCCTGCCGCTGTGCTATCGCTCCAGTCGGGTACTAGTCAATGGTTGTATTCAGTTTGTCAAAATGCAAGGGATGTCAAAATTGCTGGATATTGTGATCCAGCAAAAAAGAGATACAGACTACACATGATACTTATGGTCCTATGTGGCATGTGGCATACCTAAACAAGGAAAATGTTTCTGAACAAACCTGGATGCAATGTTTCCTGAAACCCAGATCTCAAAATAGCTGTCTAAAAGGAACAGCTCAGACTCAATATGTATTACCTGCCAATTACCTCGGCTTCAACTACATTAAAAAATCAGCTAACATTGATAATGAGGCATAGGATAAAAGAAAAAGCACATATACTCTTCAAACAGCACTGGAAATGAAAGAGAAAAGAGATAAAGGTCAGGAATGACTAGCAGTAGATATTCCTTATCACACTGAAAATGACCAATTGTCAGGGATAAATGACTTAGATCCTAAGGCCACACACACCTAACAATGCTCTTACAAATGTCAGACTTTCATTTTATAAATACACTTAATTTTCGTTTTCTAATATCACAAAATAGAACTAATGACCGCCAAACCAGCTAGCACCTTGAGATTTCCCATTCTCTAAAACTGTGAGAAAATAAGTATTAGTCTATGGAATTTTTGTTTACCAGGGACAATTGACCACAGTCCAATGTCCTGCCTGCATTTTCCAGTGTTCGGAACCCATTACATCTCTTGAATTATTCCTGTTCTCTATACAAATTATTCCTGCTCTCCATTGTATAGAGAACAATAATAGTTCTCTAAACAAATCCATCAGCCCAGTCTTCGTGTATCAGTGAGCTACCAAAAATTCAAAGAAGTCATGTTATCCCACATTCTCAGTAGGAAAAAAATTAAGTTCATTATGGTGCCATACTATGTTCAACCAGTTCTTGCTCTAACAATAGTAAGAATAATGACCAATGATGCAAGCAGCAATTATTTTCCAGACACAATTCCTCATATATATATTTGCTTCAAGGTGGGTGTTCCTATGCATTCGCTCCAAGCTCAAGTTCAACTTATGCCAAATATTTTGCACCAGCATCCTTCACTCACTTTAAGTCATTATCATTCCAGAGACAACAAACTATTTAATAACTTCCTATATCTTGCATAGGCTGTATCTGCTTACAAATCTGAACATTTTACAAAACCCTATGCACTATTAAAAAACAATTTTATGTGCAAGTATCAATTCCTCCGTGAAGGTTTATGACTGACCTCTTAAAAGGGAATATAATCCACTCATTTCCCCATAAACATCTATAACTAGGATACAAGAAATGTTCAAAATGATCAAGTCTATTTGAGAGACGGGGAAAGGCTGGGAGAGATATGAAGAGGTTTTGTTATTTTTTTGTTCTGATTGACGAATGTACATGTGTATGAGTCTGTGTTTCAATGCGGAGCCTACTCTTTGCTATGGGATATTCATATATGCCTGCTGGGTGGACTGAATCAAGGCTCACATACCAAAAGTTCTACTAAAAACCATCTCTCCTGCTCTACTACAGCATAATAAACATGGCTAGTCAATCCAACTTTAGTTTTGTGACTGGGAAGAAACTCCTCCCAACAGAACCAACAATCTCTCTGAACTTTAAATTTGCTCCATCCTCTAAGCACCAGCCTTTCTTACTCTCTGACCGCTAGGAGAGTTCACAGTCATACTTCCTGCAGAAGAGACTTCTAGGTCCCAATAACTTCAAATACAAGAAGATAAGCAAGTCTAAGTATCATTAAAATTTTTCAGGTGTCTAAACTGAGGATATAGCTCAGAAGGAAAACTTTTGTCTTGCATGTGTAAGGCTCTGGGTTCAATCCCCGGTACCACAAAGAATTAAAATTAAAAAAAAAAATCCTACAGGGCAAAATTTATTATGAAATTGGATTTCTCTACTCTCTCTCCACCTTAGCACACCGTCATGGCTTCCAAGTACTGGGCAGAAATTGGTAACAGGACAGGTCCAAGAATCTGTATTTGTAACATACCCCAAAGATGACTGGGTTAAGCAATAAATCTGGTCGCATTTAAAATCCTCACAATCCCTTTACCTACATTTTGGCACTAGTATCTGTATTACAAACCCCAATGCCCAAAAGAAAGTGTTTGACAGTATGGACGATTCTCAAAAAATTAGAATTTGATCTCCCATTTGACCCAGCTATAGCACTCTTGGGAATATATCCCAGAGAGGCAAAAAGGTATAGTCGAAGTGACATCTGCAATTGTTTGTTCATTGCAGCACTCTTTACAATAGCCAGAAACTGGAAAAAACCTGAGTGCCCAAGAACAGATGACTGGTTAAAGAAACTTTGGTACATTTACACAATGGAGTACTATGTAGCTGTTAGAAAAGATGAAGTTATGAAATTTACATACAAGTGGTACTACATGGAAAGTATCATGTAAGCGAAATGAGTCAGAAAGAGCGGGATAGACACAGAAAGACTGCATTCATCTGGTGAAGATAAAGCAACAAAACGGGAGACTAACACCCAGGAATGGCTGAGATTAGTACCAGGAATTTTGCTCCATGACTTGAAGGCCAGCCACATGTGCAAGGTGAAAAGGAAGCTCAGATAGAGAAGAGAGCACCAAATAAAGGGTGTTGTGAAGACCCTCCCAGGGTGGGAGAGACATGCTAAAAGTAGTCTATAGACCAAACATGATTGCCACTCAATGCCTCTCTTGCAAAACACAGTACCCAAAAGAAGAGAGAGAGAACAAGGGGGGAATGCCCTGCCACAGCGGCAGGGTGGGACGGGGGGGGGGGGGGGATGAGGGGTGGGAGGGATGCTAGGACCCATGGTGGGGGAGGATGGGCACTGGTGGAGGGATGGGTACTTGATCATTGTATAACTGAAACCCAAGCACAAAAATTTATAAGTCTATAACTGTACCTCATGGTGTTTCACTAATAAAAAAAATGATAAAAAATAAAAAATTTTTAAAAAAAGAAAGTATTTGAGAGAGAGAGAGAGAGAGAGAGTGAGAGAGAGAGAGAGAGAAGAGAAAAATGCCTGCCATAGAGGAAGGCAGGGGGGTGGGGGGTGGGGAGTGGGGATGATGGAAGGGAACCTGGAGACTGCCGGGAAATGTACACTGGTGGAGGGATGGGTGTTAGAACACTGTATGACTGAAAACTAATCATGAAGAGTTTTGTGAGGGTCTATCTAAAAGTGATTCATAAATAAAATCTAAAGTAAAATAAAAAAATAAAAATAAAATCCTCACAATACCCAAAAGACCTCCTCAACATCCCACCCAATCCTATTTTCTTTATTCTCCTCCCCCTAGGAGGACAAAATGTTTGCTTAATACATCAGACTCTAATTTCACCTTTTCCACTTTCTAGCACTGTAAATGTGAGCAAATGCCTCTACATCTGCCTATTT